CGTAGAACGTGCCTTCGGGTATGGTGAACTTAAACGATTTGCCTGAAGTAACAGCCAATTTTTGTAAACGTAATCTAATAATCGGTGGGGAATTTTCAATTTTGGGTTCCACATAATCGGGTACAGCGGTGGTGGTAGTGGTGGTTTCTGCGATGGTAGATGAAGCGGCGGTGCTCGCAGTAGAGCCGCCTGACGTATATGAGAGAGTAGGATTCGAGGAGGAAGATTCAAATTCAGTTTGGACGGTGCTCGAAAGCTGATAACAAAAATAATAAATCGCATATAAACAAAAAAGCACAACAATCGAAAAGCTTTTTAATTACCGATTGAGCGGAATCCTCATATTCTTCGGCATCTTCAGGAGTGGTCTTAACATCGATATTGCCATCCTACACGGATATACATTTGAAAGACAAAAAAAAAAGAGAGACAAAAAAATGATATCTGCTTTAGTTATTAAATAAAAATTTCATTGCCGGAATCATTGCTTAGGACATGCTAGGCGAAGTTCTCTTAAGGAAAGTTTTTTAAACTATTTTCTATTTTTTTTTTTTTCTTTTTTTGTTTTGGCCGAAAGATATAATCTTACATGGATAGAGTATAAGCAGATAATAGACGTTATTGTTAGCATGCAAAAAAGGCGAAACAATATCGAACATAAATTTTTCTTTTATCCAGAATAGAAAATCAAATCTTTTACGGGATAACCAAGTGTATAGTGCAAAATATATATAGATACGGATAGCGGCAAGTATTTAATTAAGATAATTACTGACTGAATTCAACACAAACACATATAAAATTCCATATACAAAAATAGAATACTTGAAGGCAAAAAAAAAAAAATGTAAAAAAATATGATATTTAAAAACAGGAAAACTGATATAATTCAAAAAAAAAAAAATTTTTTTATTTGAAAATTTGAAAAATTTTCATATCACACTAGAGTTAACGCTTAAACTTATTATTTCTATATACGTCTATAGGTTTTGATGGGGAAGGGGAATGAGATCACATTCCTGCAAAATATTTAATAGTTGAGTAATTAGCTCCAAGTCTTTTTTTTTTCTTTTCTTTTTTGATTCTTATCAATGTTTTTTTTTTTTACATGCTTTCATCTTTCAGTTGCATGCGGCCCATTAGCCTTTTAAGGTCCAATCTTCAATCAATAACATAATCGATCATACGCATCGTAAAAGAAAACAAATTAATTGAATAAAAAATCAATGGCATTCTGAAATTCTAAGTAATCGTCCATTCGAAACATTCGCTTCTAGTAGTTACACATCCGATATACATATCATTGTATAAAATTGTCTGTAGATGTAGGATTTTGCAAAACATAAGAGACGAAGGATGAGGATGTTGTTGTTGTTGTTGTTCTTTCTCTCTGTTTTTATTTTTTATTTGAAGCATACCAGAAAAATGATTTGAAAAGAAAAACACTCAGTTACACTATTTATTTATTTATGCATAGCATGGCACAAATACATATGTACATAAAATTATTGGTAAGAGAAAAACAAAACTGATGCCATTCCTTTAGAGAAAATTACAAATTTTCACCTTGTTGTTAAACTTATAATCAGACGGCGGCGACGACAACAACACCGTCGATATCATTTCGGTTTTCAGGGATTTCAATGTTGTCATTAATAGCGGTATAGTTGATGCATTTACTGTTGTTGCTGTAGTTATTGCCATAGCCAATTCAGTTGTGGGTATTATGGTTGTGGTTAATGGTGCCATTGTTCTGGCTGGTACACGTTCATTAGCATCATCAACCAAATAACCGTCATCATCATCAATAACAACAACATTGCTGTTACTATTATTATAGTTGTTATTATCGCTTGTTAACGAAGCCCAGGCTTTAGTTATTGATATCAATGTTTCGATTTCCGTTGTTGCTGGCGTTGGCATTGGTGTTATTACTGCTGCTGGTGCTGCTGCTGCTGCTGCTGCCGCCGTTACTGGAATTGGTGTCGTTATGCCAGTTATTGGTATAATAGATAATGCAGTTAAACCTTTCGGTTTATTGCCATTGCTCTGGCTTAAGATTTCTTTTATTGTTTTTACACTATTATCCCGATTTTCCATAACACTCATCGACTCATCGGCTGTTGTTATGCCATTTTCAATATATTCATTTGTCGACAACGGTGTCGATGCTTTCGCCCTTAGTCGTGTTGTTGACAAATTCTGTTATATAGCCGTTATTTATTATTTTTGTTACATTGTTACATTGTTGTTGTTGTTGTTTTTTGTTGATTTTTTACATTCAATTGTTTTTATTTGTGGTTATTGGAATTATTACATATTTGTCATTTTTGCATAAACATACATACATACATATATACATACATACATACATACATATATACATACA